GTAGCAGTGACTTCTCCCAGTATTACAAAATACTGTTAAAAACATGAAAACTTGCTTCATAGTGGTTTCAAGCTGGTCCATATTTTTTTTCATACAGTTGTCTGGAGATGCAGAAATTGCCCTCCTAGTACTTCTTTAACTGACTCCTTCTATTGGTTTGCTGTAAATATGCTTTTGATTTCCATGTGAACAAATCTGAGGACTGGTAGGTTTTTCTATTCCTGTGCTGCATTTAAATTGGATGAAGATAAGGATGGTTTTGTTTGTTTGCTTGCTTGTTTGTTTTTCTAGAATAGAATAAAGTACAATTGTAATTTTTTTACAAGAGTTTTAAAGCACCCAGACAACAGACTAAGCAAAGTGCTGTGGCCACTACCCTTCCTCCTTACACGAGGGGCACAAATGTGACAAACACGTACATTTGTTCTTTTGTTTCTCTAGAAGCAGAAATAGTTGTCACGTCAAACTGGCACACATCTGGAGCAATATTGCTGCAAAAAATGACAGCCAGGAGTACAATATTTGGCTGTTTGCTGGAAGATATGTTTATTATATTTTTGGTATACAAAGAGAGGCTTTAAAAAGTTTTTTGCAGCTGCTAAATATTTTAGTTCTAGGGGCTGATTTGCCTTGCAATGGTTTCCTATAATGAAGCATCAGGCATAAATTTGACGAAAAAAATGTGTAACACAAATGTCAATTACCTTATATTTTTTTTCTCTATTTCTATCCGTAATGGCCCCTTATCTTGGTGATATGCCTACTCTAAGGCAATTTTATTACCAGAACGATATTTTTGATTGATGATTGCCATTACTGGTGTGTGAAACTTAATGTGTTAATCTCATGCCCCCAAACTCCTTAGCTGGTTGATTTCCCTTTAAACAAATACTTTTAATGACAGCTGCTTGAGAAAGAAGTGGAAACAAAAGCAAAATGTACCTAAAATAGCAGAAGTGAGACCAGTGAGTGGTTTCGAAGCTGCTGTATGATCTGTCAGGCTGCACGGCTTCTTACCCTTGTGTGTCAGAGTAACTGCTCTTTGCTGCATTTTCATCTAACACCTGTCAGTTCAACAACACTGTCTTTCTGCTCAGACCATCTTCACACCTAGCATAATATTTTGATTTGCTCTCCTTATGCTCAGTTATCCAGAAAGCTAAGTTATTTACATCTCCTCCTTTGAACTTTAAAGCGTTATAGCCTTTGCTACCTAATCACTTGTTTGTCTCTAATCCTCTCATCAAAGTATGGAATAATTTAGGTAACACCGGGGTTAAAGTTGATATTTGAACTATAATCTTACAATCACTGCTCCGACTATCCTGTCTTACTGTAGCTGTCTTTAGGGCAGATAGCCAGTGGTCTTCTGTGGCAATCAGCAATATTTACTAACTGTAAACAAAAACAGCATTATTTTTGTAAACCCTAAATATAAATATTTCTTGCTAAGGCTAAATATGTGTCATGTGCTATTAGGAATATAGAAATGAAGGAGAAGTTGCAGAAGAAAACAGAAAATTCTTCTGACATGTTGAGAACAGGTAATCCATACAGGAATATGAAACTACAATGGATCACATATGTTTTGTTAGCTACATAATATGTCATTATATATTATACATTTCATTATATTTTTCAGCTGAAATAAAAATAATTGCTGAAATAGAGTAAAATTTATCATTCTATTCAGCCTGTATTGTGGGAAGCAAAACTTTTATTGTTTTCAGGGTAAAATATTTTGTGTTTCTTTTGTGATAGCTTTGAATATTTTTTTTTTTAATCTGTATTTTAATGAAGATCTCAGAAATACTTAGTATTTATTTTGTGTGACAGCCTGAAAATTCTAAACCAAAATATCTTCATGTTCAGAGTATTTTAAACTTTTATTTTTAATTTCAAAGAAAGTATAGTTAAATGTCTAAATCTCGGAAACATATGGAATAATTTTTCCTTCAACATATTCCTAATAAAAAGCCTTACCAGAAATATTTAAGAGTATCTTGTTGAACACATTTACAGCAGCTTCTCTTTCCTATGAGGTCATATGTTCCTAAATAATATCACAGAAGAGAAGTTAGGTAGTGTTGCATGGAAGTCATAGACTATCATTTGCTCACATACTTCACTGAGTCATCTTTCCATAATGAAGTTATGACTTTTGTAGTAGAAGTGCAAAGGTTTTGATATTTCTTGGAATTTTGTTTGCTGTATTCATAGCATGTATATTTGCCTTACCCAGCTGTAACCTATCAATTTTTTTTTGTGAGCTTTATGTTCTGTAAGAAAAAGAAAGATGACATTGACTCCTCAGGCTGTGGTTTAGAGCATGATTTCTGTCAATTCCCAACAAGTAAACAAAACCCCTGTTTTTATGGAGCAGATATACTGAAATACTTCAGAGAAAATTACATGTTTTCGATATGTTTTGAGAATACTTGGTTCCAAAAGGTTTATTTTTAACATATTACAGCCTGCAAATTTCTAATGTAGAGGGGAAGATGGTTCTTCTACAAATGGCCCTTTGGAGTTGAGCCTAAGGTTCATCCAAGGTTCAGATGCTTCATTACCACTAGGCAGGAAATGAGCAAGTTAGACTTTGGACCAATATTGCTCTGCAAATAGCAGGAGAATTTGCTGACTAACATCTGATCTCTGATTCATCACTTATAATTAACATTGTTGTTATTACAGACAGCTGGAAGGATTGTAAACACCAGCAGTAAACATTTCATTTATGCGCTAGATAGCCAAGACTGGGTATTGAGGCATGGGTAGAATATGTTAAGAGAAAGGATTTTGCAAATAAGAGGAAAAGGGGGGAAATGAGGCTATGGATCTAGAAAGATTATAGAAATCACATAATAACTGTGCCATTACCAGGTTGCTAATTTTTTAACTAACATACATCAATTTTTTGTGTCTCAACATGACTATTCCCATAATTTCTGCTTCAGACTTACACTTTCGGTATCTGCCTAGGTACTCTGCTCACAAATAAGACTTAGTTATTGAATCAGCATCTTCACTTTCTTTCTGGATTCTAGCCGGGATGACTTTATAGGATCATGGGATCCTAGAACAGTCAGCTGGGAGGCGGAAGCATAAATCTCAAAGAACCTGGGGCAAGCAAGTGGTGCATGACAGAAAAGACTTCGTATGAAAACAAAGTTTGACCTGGCTGCTGTTTTCTTCCTTGTCCTGTAAAACAGTGATTTGCACTATTAAAAGCTATTTACACAGTTATGAACCAGAATAATTCTATTTAGTAAACCATTTTTTCTGTAACATCACCTGTTTGAGTAAGAAGTATGACAATCATTGATTTCTTATTTCTGTGTTTTTTTTTTTTTTAGAGATACTTTGACGATTAATTATAGCTTCATAAAATTCTGCACTTATTCATCTAAATATAGCTCTGGAATGGCACTAAAAGTTTTCCATCTCCTTAAGTTAATTTGCTTTTTTTCATGTTCTCCCACAGTCTCTTCTGGTGTTCAGGGTGAAGTCAGTGTTCGATGCAGCCTATGAGTGGTGTTTGAGTAACTGGAAATTAGTGAGTTAATGTGTAGGTGGAAGGACCCACAACAGTACAGTTACCTATGGAATAATTATTACCATTTTTATGATCTGGAGTACTGAACTAGAATAAAACATACAATTAGTACCAATAGTAAGTTATCTCTAGGTAGATGTAATCTAGTTTGTATAGGGCTAGTTTTTTAGCTATATATATCTTAGATTTCAAATTGTAGAATTAAGTAGAAGAAATGTAGATCATATATAAAAGATGAAAAGTCTGATTTTTGGAAGCTGTGACCCTAGAAAAGAACTTGAGTGTTCCAGTTCTATTCAGCTGAATGTGACCTCCCAGTGAGAAGCTGTGATCAGATTTCAGAGTATGATACCAAAATGTGTTAGCAGGAATCTTGAATATCATATATCCATTCCTACTGCATTTGCCAGTTATGCAACACATAGTTTGTGAATATTGTGTCCATGTTTACCATAAGTCTAAGAAGGCTATCAACTGAGAAAAGCCATAAATATAATCATAGGATTGGAAGGCATATCTGCTCTGGAAATGCTCAGGAAGCCCTGACCTTTATATTTTTAAAATGTTGAATAATTCATGATTGTCTAGTGTATATTAATAAGTATTTGATTCTGGAGCATGAATTTGGTCACAGAGGGCTCTTCAATCTATTAGACACATAACCCAAGAACTGTAACTTGTATCTTGACATTTACAGAGGAAAACCAATATTTCTTTGACTGAAAGATTAAGTAACCACTGGAAGAACTTGGTGTTGGCAGATATTTGGCAATCCACATTAGATCCTTTCTTCGGGAGGAAACAAAAAGCTCTAAAAATTTGATTAAATTTGAAATGTGTACTGTGCAAGAGATCTGATGTAGTATTCCGATCCCATTTTTTTTTAAAAAGATTGTTGTGTATCATACAGTAATAATTTATAAAATTACTTGTACTATGTACAACACTAAATCAGGCTTAAGTTACCTTCCTGTTGTAGGTTATATATGTAAGTATAAAATTGTTTTCCTTTAGACTGGTCTCTCCAAGAGTTCATTCCACTGAAAATACCATTTCCCTTATACTTAGACCTGGTTGAACCGTTAAACTCAAGGGAAGCCATCCTGTAGTGAGTAGATGTATTTATGTCCATTGATCATTATGATGTAACTTAGAGAAGTAGGGCCCAAAGGATGAAACAAAAAAGCTCAATTATTATAATAGCTCATTCTAACTAAAAGGATTTTTTAGGGTAGAGTTTAAGAACATCTAACAAAACTGTTTTCTGTTGCTAGCTGTTTTGTGTTTATATGCACGATTTCATTAGTCTAGCTAAGTCTGTACGTAACTATTTGAAAGACAGGATACTATAGTAAGATATTTTTTCATACGCAAACCATAGGAAATATTTTAGTCACTACAGTTGTTTGAGTTTTCTTTTTTTTTTTATAGTAACTAAAATAGTTCATACATGAAAACGGTGGAAGTGAGGAATACTGAACAAAAATATGCTATTTGTTGTTTTACTTCTTATCTACGCAGCATCAGATATGAAGACTTGTCAGGAAGTGAGAAGGATTGTCAAAATCTTGCCAAAATTAATTTTTTCCAGAAGCCTTAGGTTTTAGTCATCTAGGCGCAGTGACTAGAAGTAAGACATTATCTCTTCTTTCATCAGTCTTTCAGCACTCCCTGAAGCAGTGTGCATTCTGGGAAGAGCGCAAGTAAAGTAAACAGACAGATTGAACTACTCAAACCTGTTACAAAACTAAGTCAGTACTCACTAGTAGTTGCAGAGAAGCTAGAAAGCTGATTTATTCCCTGTATAGGCAGAATTAACAAGAGTGATTATACTCAACATAGTAACTCAGAAGAGGAATGGAAGTGTTGATATTGCATCCTAGGGCCTCTGTCATTAAAGTTCATATCCTCACCTCCATTATTTTCAAGACTTGCATTACCTTGTGTCAACAGATCCTGTCACCATCACCCTCAACAAACAGTGTGTGGCAAGTCTTGAAAGACTGGAAATAGGTCCTTGATATGTGATTCAGTTAGCTGAAGGTAAAAATGTCTAGTGGCACTTAAGATATTCTATTGTTTTGTAGAGATTCATCTCAATTGTCCTGTCCTCAGGACAATTAGTGATGCAAATAGTGATCTCACTCAGAAGGAAAGCAACTGTACTGAGACACTGAAAGCTGCCTGCAATGGTATTTCACTGCATGTGTCACCATAAACAGTTCCCACAGCTTGAGTATTTGATACTTTGTACATCCTATTTCCAAACGTTTGTGTGATATCTGTGATATGTCTGCGGCCATCTATACACCTCTGGTTTTAACTCTGGCAGAATTACAGCTACTTTGATGGACACCTCCAAAATCATGTCTCTGGTCCCCAAATAGGGCTTGTTGTCATTAGAGTACATACACTGATTTATTTCCTACTCCAGGAGTGCTCCAGTGCTGCATTCCCACTAGTCTTTCCTAGGGCTGAGGTGGGGAACAGTCCTTAGGGGCTCTGGAAGAGAAGGTGACTTTGGAAAACAAGGATCTGTAGAGTTATACCTTGGGTGGGCACCCTCTCACAACCCTGGGGAGAGGTTGCTGCAGGCTAGAGGTATTTCAGGTGGCTTAAGGAGAAAAAACACTAAGAAATACATGTTCCATGCTTCGTGCCTACAAGATGATGTCATGATCCGTTTATTCACTGAAGAATACGGGGCTGATAGAATGGCCTTCTTATTAATAAGTAATTAAAGGAGGCTAGAGGGATAAGCAAACAAAGTTGGTATATGTACTCCCTCAAAATTCCTGTGAGCAAAGATAAGAGAAAAACAAATGAGGGGAAAAAGCCTGTCTGCCATTAGAGCAGACTGTTCTCAATAGCTGGCAGAGGAGACAGTGACAGGACAAAAGGCAACATTCAAAAGACATCTATATGTTGTCCTGGGCAAACCTGCTTGAGCAGGGGTGTTGGACAAGATGACTTCCAGGCGTCCCTTCCAACCTCAACCATTCAGTGATTCTCTGTACCGGAAACTTTTTTTTTCTCCTTGGCAGCAATAACAGCAATGAAAGGAGAAAAAGTCCTTATTTTTTTGATTTGCAGTACCTGCGGAGGTCCAAATGTCTGCATAGAGTCCAGGCTACAGAGCAGTGGCAGGGAAGGTTTTCCTTCTGCTTCATGCTTGTTCCTGAATCCTGGAGAGGAGATTCAAAACCAAAGTAGGACAGGACTTCTCCTTAATAAGTTTTCCAGGGCTGCAGCATGGCAGGTTATGGTAGGCATATCCTCCTGTGTGAGAACAGCACTGAAATAGCTGCCATATTCCTGCAGAGATACCAGCCATCAAAAGACATGCTGATTGCATGAGGTGGTACTGCTTTTAGCCATGAATGTCCCCTGTCTTGAGAGCACCAGACAGACCAGCTTTCCTGGAAGTACTGGGCTAGCGGTCTGACTCAATTTAGGGACCTAAACTGTTACTTGGATTTCATAAAACTGCCCATCCTGATGTTATAAAAGAGTTACTTTTGTGGCAACTATAATTATGAAACACGGAGGAAATAAAAATATTGGCAGCGTTATTTTTGTTCTACTGAAGGTAGTGGGAAGAGACTGGACCCCTTAGGTCTGCTGTGCCAGTATGGAAAACTCTCCACTGTCCCAAGAGCTGGCAGATATGTTTCAGTCCACCCTGGCTGCCTCATGGCTTCCCCAGGCTGCTGCCTATAGGCTTTTTATTTCGATCTTCATTCTTCTGGGAGTAAGTTGGATTATTTGGTCTTTACTGATTGCCCTCACACTATCTGCTCTGCAGCCGTCTGCCTGCAATTTGTCCTCCTTAAATGCTGTCTTACCTTGGGATTGCACATTTCCCCTGGCAATTTTTTTGTGGAGGAGATGTGTCTATGCTGCTTAAAGGGCTTTGCTTCAAACAGTTGAATTCATGCAGCTGCTTGTTCATGTATCTGAAGTGCCACAAGAGAGATTTGTCTGTCTTTGGCAGGTCTGTGAGAGCCGCAAAGGCTTGTTTCTAGCATCTGCTCTGATTTTGGATTCAGGCTGACCCAGAACCATATGCAGCAGAGCTCTGAATCAATGCATGCAAATAGGAGTGGCCTGTTCTCTAAATAACCATAATATCACGCTTAAACAACTCAGAAAAGTAAATTGGACAGTATGGGACAGGTTCAAAGAAAAGTATAAAAAGTTCAAAGACAGTATGGGAAAAGTTCAAAGTAAAAAGAAATCAATATATCTATTCATAGTTTGGCAGCTGTGTCATTCGTGGTTTAATGACAGCAGAACAAAAAGATACCCAAACTGCCAGGGAAGTAGCAGAAAAAGCTTCACAGTAACCAGCAGGGATGGAAATATCAGGAAGCCAAAAGCAGAACTCATACACATACAGAAAAACAGTTTTCAGCACCCCTAAAATGGGGAAATTTAGCTGCACAAGGAAAAGGTTTACCACATTACTTGAATGAAAAACATTCAGTACCACAGAACCCCAGAGAAAGTGAAATAATTGACACATGAGTTCAAAGAATTGATGAAAGCACTTAGCAATATGTCTTGAATGATTGAATGACCCTTCTCATAGGTTGAGCGGAAATTTTCTGGTCCCTTATTTTATTTATTTATTTTTTAACAAGTTCCCTTTTCAGAATTTGGGGATGATTTTGTTGTCCAGGAATTCTACATTTTTTGTTTGAAGATTATTACACTGAAGAACCAACATCTCAGGAAACGTAGTTTATGTTAAGAATAACGTTTTGTGACATGAGATAGGAAGAGATGATAAAGCCTGCATTTGGGAGCTTAAAGAAGGAAAAGTTGCTTCTTACTGAAAGTTTACTCTGATGTAACTAGAATTCTTGAAATGTCATCAAAAGACAGGGAGGAACTGAAGAAGATAAACCCACTTTATTTTATGGATCTTGGTTATCGAATGACCCTGAAGATGTTATCCAAACTAATAACCAATATAAAATTCTAGACCCTAACCCTGATAAGGCAGCGTGACTCATGCCCCTGTATTACGTGGAACAAGAAATCAGCACTGCAAAACAGCTATGTTGGAACATCTGCTTTAAGCGCCAGAAAGCCAATTTTTTTTAAAGAGCACATGAATAATTCGTATTTTTCAGAGGGTTACTGGCTAAATACCAGTATGTACAAAAAGGCTAAGACTAGAGCCTAACCTCTTCTTTGTACCACAAACCGCATGTGGAAAAGTAGCATCCCTCACAAAATAACCAACAAGAATGCTCTGCAGCTATGTTTGGATAATAGATGTCCTTGTTTTTCCCATGACTTTGTTACCCTTCACAGTCCCATCTCCTCCCTGATATCATCAATGACTGGGTTCAGACTTGCCTTGCTTTTCCTGGACTATTGTCAAGAAGCAATTTTGTTTTACATTGTTCCTTCCTGACCTATTTCTTCTACATTGTACACTCTTCTGTAATTTTAATTAAACTTGCTCGGGGCTAGCGATTTTTGCTTTTAAATGTGCGCATGATGAATCTGTGGTTTTCCTAGGCTGTTGCTGATTTATTCAGAAAACCAAGACAGTGGCGTTTTCAGGGAGTTTCTGGGTTTTTCATAAGGTTATAAATATAATTTATTGCTGGCACCTGAAATCCAAATACATCTATCTGGCTTTCAAAAAAGCATTTCTGAAAGTCTCTGCACAAATCATGTTTTCATGAACTAATTAAAAAACAAAAACAAACCCAAACAAACAAAAAAGCAAAAAAACCATCATCATCTTAAACATTTTCCCTCAAGCAGCAAGTAAAAACACCAATAAAATGTTTAGTTTATGTACCTGAAAAATTTGTGAGGTTTCTGGTTCTGAAAGATGTCAGGGTACTGCAGAATCATAACAATGCATAGGCCATCAGGCCAATACAGGTAATCTTCTTACGAGGCTGCTAGATTATGTTTTTCTTTTGTAACTAACTTAGAAGTGAAATGTAATTAGAAGTCAGAAGGGGCTAGGAGAGGCAGCATGGCAAAGATTCCAGGTGATCATACTATCCATGGTACTTTTTCTTTTGCAAAACAGCAGCTTGAAATTGTGGGATTCAGGAGCTGTTGCTTTTCCCAGATGCCTTTCTTGGGATGCTGCTGCTTCCTGCCTTGCCGTGTGGCACTCAGAAACTGATGTGCTACAATGGGTAGTATTTCCCCCCTTATTGCTTGTGATTGGACTGAGTAAACTTACTTGTGGCACAGGTCTCCGGATATTATTCTCACTTCTGGGTGAACAAAAGAGCATTAAGGAGAGAGCAGCAGCTGCAGAGGGAATGTATTATAGCAGGAGTGGCAAGTAAACAAATTTTATGTCACTGCTCCCAGATATAAATGTAATTTCAGGAAAACACATAAAGGTTTAAAGTTTACACTGCATAGCAGATATAAAACACAAAGTAACACACCAAAGAGGGCTGTTTGTGGAGGAGAAGAGGATTTCACCAATATTAGCAGCAGAATTCACACACTGGTTGCCAGGCTCAGCTAAACCTAGATAATGTGTTTTTTAGCTGCTTTTTCCTTTGGGGTCACCTTCAGACTCCTTGGGACTCACATCGAAGTGGAAATCTTGAATGTCAGTGCTCCCTGGTAAGTAACTGGTATGAAGCAGCATGTCCAAACAGCTCCACTGCTGGCTGCTGCCTTCCCACAGCCGGGTGTTTCCTCAGCTTTGTGACTGAGCAGCCATATGTTTTTCTTGGTGCTCCTGAGACCTGTGCGCTGAGGAAGTGTTTCTACAGTGTGAGAAGGATTATTAAACTGAAGCTAACAGGTAGATGGCCTGGACCATGGCTGGGAAACCAACAGTGTGAACCACCAGTTCTGGCTTTAGACATGACTAGCTTCATTAAGGATGCTGTCTGTGTTAAAATCGCCATCAGTCCATTACACCCAGCTATATCTATGGTTTGTTCTGTGATGCTGGAAGCTGGTTCAATACCGTAGCTTGTGTGGATATGTCAAATGTGTCACCACTGAACAGAAGCTTTTTCATAAGCCACATTGGTTATTTCATAGGCCATATTGCTAAAGCAGCTTTGACCTCAGTATTTGCACCAGTAGCTGGAGGTATTGTATTAGAGAGGACCCCTTAAAAAAACACATCATGTAATCATGGGTTCTGCTAAAATGCCATATGGGGCTTTATTTCAGGTAGTGAAAGGATAAGGGGTAATGGGTTCAAACTTACACAGGCGAAGATCAAGTTAGATATATAAGGTAGCAGTTCTTTACTGTGAGGCTGTTGAGGCACTGGAACAGGTTGCCCAAGGAAATTGTGAATGCTCCATCCCTGGTGGTGTTCAAGGCCAGGCTGGACAGAGCCTTGGGTGACACGGTCTAGTAAGAGGCGTCCCTGCCCATGGCAGGTGACCTTAACCTCCTTTCCAACCCTCACCATTCTGTGATTCTATGATTCTATATATCCCAAGGCAGAGAAATGTGACATGCCAGCAAATTTCCTTCCAACTTGAGAAAGCTGTATGGGTAATGTTCCTCAAACTCACACAGCCAGGAGTCAATCCCTTGTGTATTAAGTCAATAAATGTAAGAGCAATGACCAAATTCATATATGTGGAGTGGAATGTCTCAAGATATTTTATGCGAAAACAAAGCTAAGGCAGTTTCTAACTGCATACCTGACCCATCATTCACAGTGTGTCCTAACACAACTCTTGGACTGCAGCCTGGGACTGATGTAATAAATGGGAATTTCAGTGGAGGACAGGTGATGTTACAAAGTGTTCTGGATATCAAAGGGAGATCTGTGTGCGCATGTAAAGTGCTGGTATGTTCTCACTGTATTGCTCTTGGATTTGTATGTCTAACTGCATTTCTGATTGTTTGCTTGTATTTCAGTGCTTGTTCATGTTCATCTTGGATAGAAAGAAGAAATAGAAAAATAGACGCCATTTAATTCTGTTACACACTAGAGATTATAAACTCTTATTCAACAGTCACTGTCTCAAACACATAGCAAGGATTAGTTCTACTTCTGTTTCCATACCGCATTTTGTTTAAAGAAAAATTAAGAAAGTACAGTTTTCAGCATATTTCCCTCTTTGAACCAAGGAATGCACTGAATTGGGACAATAACAACAAGGACTAATACATGCATATCGTAAGATAAAGTAATGAGAACTAAATTCCATTTTATTACTACAGAATTGCAAAGCAGTAAAAGTGGTTTCTTTGCACCATCTTTATCACTAAGTAGCAACAGTAATAAGAAATATTATAATCACATGAACCTGAACTTTTACCACATTGCTACATGCATATCATCCACAGAAAAAAAATGCAAACACAAATAAAATACAGTGGTGTACATTAACAATAACTTATACAATAACTTTCTATTATTTAAATAACTATAACTTTTAAATTCCTTAGGCTTTTTATCAATTCACACTTAAGCACACTCATTGTCAGACAACAATTAAAAAAGTACTTGAGGATTTGGTTTGCAGTAATGGAATTTTACTTTATACTCTATCATGATAGAAATACTTCAAACAAATAGCAAAATCATGTCAAGTAGAGATATTATCATTCCAGTCAAGCTAAATGTTTGGCTAAGAGAAAGATTTTCATTGAGTCAGAAGTACTTATAAAAAAAGAAACATTTGTTAAGCACTGTCATCTTTAATGGTATGAGATTAGAGTATTGAAATGTGCGTGAAAGATAACAATGCATCAGAGAAATAAGTAGAATTACTAATACATTTCATTGAAGAAAGCTTCAGGGCCCTGGCAATGCTGTCAGACTCTGCCATAGTTGCTTTCATTAATCCAAATAAATGAAGGAAAAATACTCAGTCCAGTCATTCTGTCATAGAGATAGAGATTCATTAATGCTAAGCAGAAGGAACCTGAAAAATAGATATGTCATATAAATACTGTTAGAAGTGAGAGGGCGAAAAAAAAACTGTGGGTAAATGCTTACTGTACTTTCTGGCATCAGTAGAAAAAGTACAGAGTCTTCACTGAGGTGACAGAGCCAGCAAATATATTTATTTCTTTTTCTATAGAAAACTCACAATCTGCTTAGGGCTTTGCTCAGGCTGAGCTTTGGCTTGAATGGGGCTACTGCTCAGCCTGTCACTTCCCAGCCTCCGCCAACATGCAGAGTAATTTTGCCCCAGTGGCAGAGCTGTGCACCTTTTAACTTCATGACAATTTGCTCAATCTAAATTTTTTTATGGTCTTTCTGTCTGTATTGATGCTTTGGTCTGTCTGTATTGATGCTTTGGTCTATCTGTTTTGATGCTTTGCTGTATAAAGTCAATTATTGGTTTTGCTCTACTTGATTTAGACTGACAGAAGAAACGTGTCACCACATTTTTATGGTGGCAGTATTATGACTGTATGAATAATATTTCTTTACAAATGAGGTCTTAATGTCAGTGAGTTCAATTACATAAAGCATGTTTAAAAAGAAGAAAGATTTTTAATATGGTCTCATTTGAATTTCTCTTAGTACATAAAATCATAGAATCATAGAATCACAGAATAGTTAGGGTTGGAAGGGACCTTCAAACGTTATCTAGTCCAACCCCCTTTCAATGAGCAGGGACATCTTCAACCAATTGGGTTGCCCATGCCAGTCTGTTTATTTTAAGTAGGTTTATCTTGACAATCATGTCTTTCCAGTGGTCCTTCTCAGCCAAAGTGGAAACAATATACAGATTTTCCCACTATAATGTGTTTATCTTGGCAAAATTAAAGTCTGGAATGAGCTTGGAATACCCAATTGCCTTTGAGCTGCAAGACAGATTTTGCTGTTAATTATCTAAGCAGCATATTTATTGTCTCTGGGTACACCAATTAGATTGTGTTATTAGCAAGTATTTCAACAGACATATTTGAAAGCCTGCTATGTATATATCCATGAGGTTAAAAAATCCTGTGTTCTACCTAATCTGTATCTGGCACTCCCAGGATGGGTAAGCATACTTTTGGCACATCTTTTTAACCTCTCATTTATAAAATCAGGTGGGAACGGGTCCAGTTTCAGACTCAGAATAGATTCACTCAAATATTAATCAAGATTAACCTCGGTGACAAAGTCCCAATGATTTATTCCAGTAATTGGAAATAACAGTCTTGGTGGAGAGACTTGTCATGCCCGTGGACACACCACAGTGAGTCCCCTTTTGTTCAGACCATGTTCCCAGCAGTGATTCCCCTCTGCAATCACGAGCTGTCCCCTCACAGGCAGTTCCTTTTACGCAAGAGACAGAGTGAGCTCTGCCTGATCTCTGCAGCCAGTGTGGATATCAGAATACTTGTGCGCTGAGAAAACAGAAGAAAAGTGAATCACACTCATACAGACAGAGGGTGATTTAGTTGGTCTACAGAGAGAGTCTGTGACATCCATTATATGGAGTATTTCATTAGGAATGTGCAGTGGCTGGGAAATCATCTCCCATTTGTATTGTGAAGTCATGTAGAACGTGAGCTAAAAATTAAGCATACACTTACCTTTGTAGATAGTCCAAAATAATAGAAAGAGAGCAAGCAAATAGTTCCCGTTGTGCTTATGTAGTTATGCTGATAATGAAGCCTAATCATGGTGGTTGAAATGCTATTACTTTACTTCTGATCAGAGAAATAGTAAGAACAGTCACGTCATACAGATCTGCATTGTCCAGTGCTATGCTATTATCTCGGCAGAATTTGTCTTGCAGATAAAAGCTTTTCTCACCTTTGCCTGTCAATGTAGGATTTTTTTTTTTTTCTTTTTGTAGAGGTAAAAATCATCAATCTTTCTACAGTCTTATAGAGGGAAAAGACACGTAATAATCCACCAAATTATATAGTTACCCTAAGAAAATACTGTATCAAGATTCATACCTAATCTTAGACTGGGATATTTCACAATCCTGTATGTTTGATTTTCCTTCCACACAAAGTAGTTTACCATTCAGTTCTGTATCTCCACAGTTGTTTTATTCCAGTTAACCAGAATTCCTCCAGGAATTCCTGCTGTCAGGAAAAACTCCTGGCAAACTGTAAAAGTTAAGGAGTCGGTGAAGAATGTTGTCCAGAAACCAGATCCTGGTCTGTTTTTGGAACAGAAAAGGAGTTGTGAAAGAAATGGTGGAAGTAAGCAGATTGCTTCTATAAACTTCACTGATAGCAATAAATACAGAAAGGAGAAGACTGAGTAAAAGATGATTTGGCATAAGATAGAGAAATATGATATATGACAGCAGAATGCATAATAAAGAAAAAGAAGGGCTGATATCATATGTTTTAGAAAATGCTGCAGTTAATAAAGGAATATGCATATCAATTAGAAATAGAAAATTGGGTGTAGTCAGTAAGAACCAACACATTTTCTAGTGCAAAGAGATGAAAGGAAAAAAGAAAGGAATTTGAATGTACATTAACTCTGAAAAGGCACCAAAAACATGATAACCTAGTGAAAGCTGGAATATCAGCCCTGAACATTACTGACCAGGAAATTTAACAAGATAGGTTGATATAATGGGGTAGTTTTGGTGAGGAAAAAAAAAGGGCCACTATTTTGACATCAGTTCACCAGGAAGGTTGTTTACAGCCATGGTCCTGGTTTTCACTGATAGCCTCAGCATTAAAGCAATGAATTTAAATTGCTTCAGTTGAATTGTATTAGGCCAGAACAGCAAGCTAGGCAGTAATACCTTGGATAATGAGCAGATTCATGGAAAGAAACAAAAACAAAACTGGAACAGAAGTCCTCAAATCCAGAAGGATCTGGACTGCACTGACTGTACTGAGGACTTCTTAGATGTGAATGTAGAAAATGGATGTAATTACTCTTAAGTCAAAGGCACAAAACCTATTCAGAGCCTCTATCCCAAGAAAAGGGTATACTTGAAAGTAAATGCTCCTAACCCAAATAAGTGACAATTTACCTCAAAATATCTACCTTCCTGCATTAAGCAAAGAGATTATAAGCAATGTACAAAGGAGTAGGCTGTGTTAATTTGGAAAACAGTTGCGG